AATTAATATTATTATGTATAAAAGAAAATATGGATTTGGGGGTTGGGTGGTTGTCGTCGGTGATGCACTTGTCTGATGACCGATGACCGATTGATAGCGCAATGTGACTTGTTGTATGACCTTAGAGAATATATCTATTAATAATATTCCATTAAACTTAAAGCTTGAAATATTTTCTGATTGTATTAGTAGTTTAGAATTATAGATTTTATATTTTATTTAGATTCTTTAAACAGTTCTAGACATAATACACCCCTTTGCTATCAACGCAGTTCTATTCTCTTTTAATCCAACTTAATTGCATACACGATTTTTCAAGATTTATATTTTTAACTTAAATATTGGTTATTTGCAACTATGTATAGACAATTTAAATAATAGTAATAGTTGAAATAATTTGTAAATGTTAAAATAAGTGTTATAAAAAAATACTTGGATAGGAATCTGTAGATGACAGTGTTCTATCATATCCAGTTTATCTAGTATCTATAATAGATATCTATTTAGTAGTTGACGATGTGAGTACCAAATATTATTATACTCAGAGCAGTGAACAAAAACCAATATCAACAAAAAGCACATTCTCTTCACTGCATGTCTACATGAAAAAACATTAAACCGTGGATATGTTTTTTTTTTGGATGTTAACAATGTCCCGAGTGGCGTTCAGTTTAATATATGCTCACAAATCATACACTAAAATAAAATATTTAATTTTTCATTTATAAAATATAGTCGTTTCAATTGGCACGAATTGAACAAAAAAAACCATTGCTTTTTTCAGCGTTGAACTCAAAACAAGCGTACTAAGTATTACGTTAAATATTTATCGGGATGATTATTATATTGTATAAGTATTCCCAGGAATCGCTGGCGTTTAATCGACCGTATTTGTGTTCATATAATATAATATGAATACAAATCTATCGGACACACAATGCACGTTGTTTAAAGTGCAATCGACAGAGACACTCGAATCGCGTTATACTCCAACGAACATAAACGAACCGGCTGCGAGTACATGGAATAGAAATAGCAATAGCCCTTATAATATGTTTACATAATAATAATATAGAATATATGTATATGTTTTTGTGTAAACACGATTATTCGCGTTTCATGTCATCTTTGAGCACGTCGACCGGAACGATGATCAACGGTGGCCGAATTCATATACAGAGAAAAAGCTCATATTGTACATAAATATAATATTGTATAGTGGCTGACTGACCGCCGATGATTATTATCGCACGCTAGAGTTGATTGTTATTATAGCGTTTACGATTTAGACACGACAATTACAATCAAAGGCCACTCTAAATATGGTACAAAACACTGTTAAACAACGCTATACAAGCAATACAATTATCGCAGCCCTACCCAGACAAGTGGCGATTATTATCCGACTGCTAGACACGAGTGCACTGTACACAACGTGACGGACGGGTCACTTCTAGTTTTTAATTTCTATACCGAACGACTTGCCTTAATACCGATTTTCCATTGGACATTTTCAACTTGAATAATACATTCCTTTATAATATTATATTAACGACCGTCCACGACAACAGCTAACCAATACACAACGGACCCTCCAGAAATAATCACTACTACTGAATTGTTAGTACTTTTCAAAGTTGAAAAAACCAATTCCCACTATTCCGAGAAAACCCCTCGTTTTGCGGACCCGTCTCCTTTATTGTTATCCCGGATAACCGATGAGAAGCCATTCATTAAAGAATCTGATAAAAAGAAATCGATGACCCTTAGATAAACGTTAAGTAAACCATCGTCTTGGGTCATATTATTGTTGAAACGCCAACATAATAACAAACTTAAGCTAGTACATATGACATAATATGTTCACTCTTGTAACAAAAACATTGTCCTTATATGTTCATTATTTGTTTTTATATCTTATTCATAAAAATAAAATAAAAACCAATTTTATATCAATCTCTTTTAAATTGAATGGGAACTTGAATTTTTCTATGAATTAAGATTATTTTTGTTTAACAATGTTTTGAAGGAAAAAAGACGCCGGATTTGGTAGTCTATTAAACACTAATATCTTGACGATAGAAAAAATCTAATTAACATTTTTAATTGATAAGTACAAAAGATACAAAAAAAAGGTGCGAGAAACTAGTTCTTTTTTAGAATTTTTTTTTTATAAAAATTTTTTAGTTTGTTTCGTCACTGACACTTTGTTTTATAAAACTAGTTATTTGTGTGCGCGTTTGCTATTGTAATGTACAGTAATGTAAAAGAAAACTAATTTGACTAATTCACAAATGCCTAGATAACCTTATGTAAATATATTTATATACATATTATTTCCTAGTTTATGGCTGCATATATAAACTATATATGCAGCCATAAATCTTTTATTATATGCTATTATTCTGCAGACGTATAATAAATGTCCTAGTAAATGTTTTACTATTGTAATATTCTGTTCAAATTTCCGGTACATTTCGTACAGACTGTAATAAATCAGTTGATATATAATACATGTAACACTCGAAACGACAAGATAGTCCATACAATTTTAGTAATATTATTTTTAATCGTTCGAAATACATTTTCAATTTCAATTTTCTTTTTAAATATTAATGTAACAACTGTATTAAAAAACTTTGAAAATGACAATTTTTCAAACAGAAATACTTAATTAACTAATAATAATTTTTTATTTGTGCCACAATCGATATCTTATCAACATATCATATAGATTCTACTTTGTTGTGTTAAAATATAACTTAAGAAATGTTTAGCTTAATGTTAAGTATTATTGAAAACTGTATATTATACAATGTACATTAGGAAATGCTAGTGTAGAAGCCCCTCGACCAAAAATAATATTTTAATTATACAGTCAGAGCAATCGACGACGGGCCATCTAAATCAGTTTTCTCGGTTTTAAATATTTCGAATTTTCCTTTATGTTATAGTAAATAGTTATTAATATTTTATAAGTAACAGAAGTTGTATACAATGTTTATATAATATCTATATTGATTCATGTGTTCGTGTTGACTAAACCGTCAACTTTTCGGTAACCAATCCTTTCCGTCTGTAAGTTTGTGGCATTTGGTGCTATACCATTTCTCTCGCCCTATCCGTTTCTGCAGTAGACCGAGTCAACATTAATATGGTGTACGACCACACGAAATTATTGTAAATAATGTACGCACAAGGTTGTTTAATAAACCAAAAGTGAGTTTGTATGTGTTCCGAAATCGGCCACAGTAAATATTTCATTTAACTTTTTCGTTAATACTTAAAAATAAAATAATATTCCGAACAAACAAAGTAATGATATCTTTTCATTATAAACGGTCAAAAACAACGTTTCGGTTATTTCTCTACAGCCGAATTGTGGAAAAAATTTATATATTTTTAATAATGTTTACATTTTGGGCTATGTAGAGAAATCACTTGCTCGAGGTTGCTAAAAAATGTATTTTCATTAGACCAGCACAGTGACAGTACCGCATAATGAATACACAATTTCAACGTTTATTCAATTGTAATTTGAATGACCATTAAAATTATATTATACAGTTTGTGTATGTTGTCAGCATGGAAAACGAAAATTACCAAAAAACGTCATGCTCCGTGCTCGAAATGGGTTTTCAATTTATCGCTTCATTATCGACACGTCATTAATTTTGTAAGGGCCGACAGGAAAATCTTTTATAGCGTCCAAGTTTTTTTTATGGACCGCCTCCGTTTGACAATCGAATCGTAAGTTCTTTATTTATTTATTTATTTTTTTTATGTATACAGCTTGTCTAAGGAATTCATCATAATCAAGACGCGATCGAGTATTACAGATAATACTGTTCGAGTCTCTGTGTTCGTTAAAGTGTATTCATTAACATGTTCTATTGTCCTAATCGAATATATTATTATACATAATTGAAACAGCCGATTAACTTGTAAGTTATATTATTTCAACGGACATCATACATTATAATATTATGCTGTGGGTTCGCATAAAACAGTATAGTTCAGCAGGATCGACGAAGCATGACGTTTAATTATCGACGGACATAAATCGCCCAAGTACAAAACTATGATGGTGGTTATTGTTATTTTAAAATAATGTGTAATATTTTGTCGTCTCTAAACGAGCAACTTGTTTGTTAGGACCCGTCGATCCGTTCATTTTCGATCATGAAAAATAATGCTAAACCCCTATGGGGGACACGCAATAATAGTCCTAATAATAATTCCATCATAGTTAATTCATTTCGGCCTACAATACCTGATTTTTTTTTTTTTACTTTTTAGCCTTTATTAATAAAATATGACGGCTCGACAATTGCAATACCTATAGTTTTCGTTTTTGCGACTGATACTACAATAGGGGTGAAGTAGTTTTTTTTTATTGTTAATGATTTGGCAAACATCGAGGTTGCGATGGCGGCAATTGAAAACGATCAAAATAATGAACGTTTTTTAAAAGTCGCTTTAATATGTTAAAGTATTTAATAAATTATCAACTATGTCGTTTATATTATCTCATTGCAAACCTTTATAAGTATTAAACTATACCTAATCTGACGAATTGTTCTCTTTTGATCATTAAAACGAAATGTTATATTGTAAAGTGTAATAGTGTGATTGACATCAAAGGTAAATCGTTTGCATTGAAGATTTTTCCAATTTTGAACTAACAACGTTAGTCAAATAAAAAAATATTAACTGCAATGGAAATTTAATTCTAAACTATCCTCTTTGTTATTTTATATTGGACGATCCGAAGAAGTTATGTCGTGAATCATTCTCAACATAACAGTCTTTTGGCCCACCCTGTATGTTAAGCGTATGCATTTGACATAATGCGTGTTAGTCAGTTTAATTTGATGTTGTTACAAGTTACAGCGCACATACATTGTTATGAGCATCAATATAACGCTCAAGCGAGTAGAACATAATATTATTATAATCTGAAATCTAGACTAGTTTCACGTCAAAATCCACAAACTTACCTTTATATAGAAGTTTTCCAAACTCGTTTGTAACTATTCGGAATTCTGGATTTGGCGTCTCTCCAATCTATTAGAGGAAGTGAAAATTACTGAACATTGATTTAACATTTAAATATATGTACATATAATTGCTCAATGATATCTTTCAATTGCAAATATATATAGTTGTTATACTAATTATACACACCTGAACCATAAGCGATACGCCGACTATTCCTTGAGATTTCATTTGTGCTTCTGACATGTTCGAATAAAGATCAGTGTTGTAACCGTACAATTGAATCTGAAAACAATTGACACAGTGTAAGTCACCTACGCATTTATAAATATTAAAATGTCGTACGGATCATATTAAAGTAAGTTTCAAACAGTCTGTTATATCCGTCTCATATACCGTTATACTTATAAACAGCTGGGAAATGTTCAAAAAAAAAATTATAATAATAATAATCACTAATACCATTGAGTATATATTGTATATATATTCAATGCTAATGCTACACAACAACTTTGCTTTACACTTTGTTTGTATAAGTCACTGGTGGGAGAGAATTGGCAATTTGACTTATTTTAATCGTAGACCTATAGATTTTCATATGTTCTATTTTAAATGTAAAAATAAGATATTGTATTGAAATATGAATAAAGAACACTTATTTTATTATACGAGGGGCACGATATTTTAAAATGATATTCTTCTGTGGGGTTATCAATCCAACATATTTGATAATATTATCATGGAAAACGATTGAATAACACATTTCAAGGGGAAAAAATCAACCTGTCAAAAGTGTTGTTACTTTAACCAGTTGGTCGTACGTGTTATGTATTTGAAATCCATCGCTACTAAAAGTATATAATATACTACATTGTAGTAGCATTTGCAAGTGTGCACATTTGCCTGGTATTATAAATCATGTAGTATTGCAATTTCCTCAAACGTTATAATGTTTTCCACTCAATCGTTTCCGCGAAATAACCGAAGAGGAATCGTGAAATAAACGTTTGTGCGACGTACAACCTGTGTGTAATATTATGATGTGTTTTTGAAAACATATTGGCTGATCCAATAAGCAGAAATGAAATATTTTTCAAAAGTCATTCATTTGAAACTTAATAATACACCAACCAGTTGTCTGCAAAATCTGGCTTAAGTGTTTAAAAAAAAGCAAAAACCGCATTCGAACGATTCTGACATGTTTTTACAAGATAAATGGAACTGATGCACCTTTTTCTACAATTTAACCATTATACCCTGAGACGTTTGAGTGCGAATCGAACGAACCGCATGCACCGGTATCCACTGAAATGAATAAAATAGCTTTATTACTTCCATTTAATATACTTCAGGTTAGTCAATCGCAAAAAAAAATGTTTTTCTATAGAGTAAAGAGTAAAGTTTACACAATTCAAATGGGTACTATGACCACAACTACCGAGTCTGTTGCTTGCCCAATCACTTTGCATGTACACATATACTCACAATATTATGGCATACCTACCTAGTATTCGGAAAGATAGGATAAAAGATTTCCGTTCTTAACCGTAGATTCACCTCTTTTCGTTCAATTCCCCGTCTCGTAGAACCATGTGGATTTTGTGGTTTTTACACTGCTGGCCGTGCACTCCTCTCTCTCAATCCCAAACGATCGTGCACGAGCACACACATATATACTCCTCAGGGATTATTTTCTTAAAAAGCATTCGATTCATCTTATGGGTTTTACTACAGTGCGCTCATCTCCATTTCAAGATTGAAATCGAAACCCAGTGGATTATGGCCTTTTGACAGCGCGCAAATGGCTGGTGCCGAAGCGGCTGACACAAAACACGGGGGATCGTCGTGGAAATAAAAAAACATAAACCACCCTCCGACATTTGACTATTTATTTTTTGTGATTCCACCCTTCCTGCGTGTTATTATTATTATTATAGTTATCGTTATTGCTACTGGCCGTTATGGGCATTTTTATTTGAATATGTACTCTAAAGTTTAGGAGTCTAAACGTTCCCATATAGAATTATATGCGCGTACAACCGCAAATACTCTTGGATTGCCCTATACTTTATGGAAATAACATGATATCAATCACTGTAGCGGTCTCAATGTAATGGCCAAATTATTAGGGTTATTGGGATGTAAATGTTCTACACCCTTAACCCACCACCGCCGTAAATACACATATTATATTACCGATGTTCTGAGAAAATACACCCCACAAAAACAGAGCGATAAGACTACATATTTTATCAACTGCGATCCTGTATATTGGATGTACTTGGATTTTAAATCTCTATCGCCAATAACACAGTCCGTACGATTACCAATGGTTTACTATTTTACTAAGCAGCTGATTTTTTTGCTAAATAATCATTTAATTCTCATGTGAGTAAAACAAAATTCGTTAAATTACAACATGCGCGTTTAGAGTACTTCCAAAAGGTATACTAACCAAATCCAAGTCTTTAATAAATTAAACAAGCTTGCGAATGACGACAGTAGAGTTTTTTTATATTGTTTTAACGTAGAACAAAAAAGAAATACTAACAATTTCGATTAAATATGTTTTTACCTTTTAGTTTATTTTTTCAAATTATTAGAAAAAAGTTAGTAAAAAATAAACAATAATAGTTGTCACGGAGCTTAAAAGGCAATCAGTTCGCGATTAATTTTTGAGTACCTTTAATAGTTTTTAAAAGTTTATGTTTACTTGGTCAACCGCAAATACAATATAAAAACACTGCAATTGGGTTTCTCAAAACAATAAAACTTATAATTGGAAACATGTTTTGAAACATTGACTGAAAGTAAACAAAAATCTTACTTATATTGTGTACAGTTGTATGTATTGTTTAATATAATTTGTTTTATTTTCTAATGGAAATTGTAAGAAACTTTGTGATTAAATGTTTTAAACTGTTAAAAATATTTATACTGAACGGTAATTCTAGGGTATTTAATAAAACAGTAATTATACAAAAACACAGTTCTAAGTATTGGTTCTATTATAATAAAAGTAAGGGTAAATTATTAATATATTTTAAGTAATTATTTTATCAAACAATTATTATTGAGGTTGAAAACATTTTTGTTTTATAATTTTAATCTATATTAATATGTTCAATAATATATAAATATTATTTATAACAAGGCGAAATGTCTATGCAAAATTGCTACATGAATGCGTGTAAAAAATGATAATTATATAATACAAACTAATTGGTCAGAAATCTTCTTAGTGTATTATAAAATCAACATAAAATTAACATTAACGACTAGTAATAACAAATAAATAGAGTAGCGTAGTTAGCATACATTTGAAATTTTAATACCTAGTCTTAAAAATGCTGTAATAACAACAATACACTTTTATGATATTTAAAAATAGTTTTCTTTGTTATCTGCAAACTGTAATCATAGCAATCAAATATAAAAATAAAGAATAATAATATTGATAAGTGAAAAATGTTGGAACATTACATACTTACTCTATTGAATGTTCAAAGTACTTGTTTAGAATATTATTTTTTTTACTGATTTGACATATTTAATTAATCTATGTAATTTTATTTTATTTGTATTCTAAATGATTCGGGATGTTCAGTAGAAACCTCTAAGTTTTGTTTTCCAAAATAATACAACATGATGTACTCGTCATTTAGTTTACGGTCAGACATAATAATATTATGTTCACAGAGAACCTTCAAGTGCAATAACTAAGATTGGCTTTAAAATCTTTAGCAGACTGTGTATGATAATTAATTGCATTAATACAATGCACTTTGGTGCTTGACATAATTATTTTAACGGATCAAACAGTGTAGTCATACCTTTATAACAATAATTTGTCTTTGATCTAATCGATTTGTTAGAGTTACTCTGTAATATGATTTATTGTTTATCAAATTAAATATTAAATACATTTTTAAATGCTCACAACACATATATAATACTTTTTTTTTTAAATTAATAATAATTACTCGTTGAGTTTGAAATCTTATATATGAAGACTTGCGGGAAAAAATTAATTTATGTTTTATTTTTTATAACGGTTTACGCTATTAAATTTACTTTTAACAGGTGTAATTTTTAAAAAACAAACGTAAATGCGTATTTATTTTTAAGACAACAGTTGTAAAAAAATTCAAATAAACGATCCAACTAATTGTGGCAGAAAGAAATAGATCTCTATAATGAAGACTTAATTTTAGTTTTTAAAAGTCAAATGTACTTTCGATGGACGGATGGACCTACGATTGAAACGTTTGCAAGACATAAATAATGTATGGTGTTTTTTTTTTCACCGTTGGCATTCCTATAAAATATTAAAACTGTTCATTGGGTCGTTTGATGCTCATTTACTGACGAGTCGAGATAAACATTATGCGGTCGCTCACGTCAACATTTTGTCCTCGAAAAGATGTAATTTTAAATTCAATTTATATTCATGTTTAAATTGCTTTAAAAGTATAAGTTTTCATCGAAGTTGATTTATTGCTAATGACACTTTTCCTTTAAATATATATAAGAATTTGGTTCACTTTAATGGTTCTTAGGTGCACACAGCCGTAGTCATTCTTTATCGCCACCGTTTTTTTAATGATAATAGAAGAAGTCAATTTAACCGGCCTATAAAAAAAAACCCCTGGGGTAACCCGATTAGAAGTTTACGATACGCTGATAAGCTATAGTGCTGACAGTGATAAAGTAGTTTCGAGTGATTTATCAAGGATCCGAATTAATTAACGTAAATAAAAGTTCCCAACGATTAGCATCGCCAGTGTCAACAAGGAATGGGCTCGTAAGTACCATAAGGATATAATCTACACCTTGGAAAATGTGCTCGCAGTCCCATCGACAGAACAAAGACAACAGACTGTCGTCCGACTGCGAGTTTCAGTTAATCGACCGTGTCCTTTGGTTGGTTAATGTGTAAGTATCCTTGATAGACAATTGGTTCAAGAATTTCTTATAAAATGTATATATGTGTGTACATAATATACAGTCTTGCATAAACCAACCGAAGAGAACATGCTAGTATTTTCATTATCCGTAGACTTTCTCCTACGGTTCAAACGGTTTGACGCGTCTTGGCTAATAATAATGTTATCTCTCTCTGTTATTAAACAATATCTATAACTTCTAAGCGTTAACAAAACAGCCGTGCAGTATCCTCGCGAGTTTTACGATGATCAATATGTAAATAAATCGCTACAGGACCTTATCGTTTTCAAATAATAGCCTATTACGCGTTTATTTTATAAGAAAAGTTTCGCAATATACCCTTCTAGTGTTTCAATCAAAGAATTCCGAACGGTTTGTGCGGGAAACCCGCAAGTATTAAAAGACCACTCGAGATTCCATTTATCTCTCTAATGCCGTTAACAATTTCAGTATATAGACGAGGCTTTTGTTAAAACATGCTTAAGGGTTAACGCGTCATCGATTGAGCGTCATTATTACGAACGAATCACTTAAATATGTATACATATATCTCGGCTGGGGAATTCAGTGCGTTTACATGGTTGTGTGCTTATCCCGCACGTGTTCGATATTATGATAATAAAACCGGCAACTTTTTAAATTATTCGCAATCGGAAATGGCCGACAAAAGAGAAAATGCATTTATTATTTTTGGCGATAAAAAAAACCACCGGGAGCGTGTTTAAAAATGTATAAAAAAAAACGGATTCGTTTGTATAGTATTATTTTAAAAACTGACGACAGTGTTTTTTTAAACAATTTTTTATCTCTTCTACAAAAGTATATATATATAATAAAGCCAAAATCGTTTGATGATCCAGCAGCGACAGCGGCGAACAAGAACACTGGTAAATTGCCATCATTTAAGAGAAAATTGTTTTGTTTTGTCGGTTCTATACGTTCTGAAAATAATAATAATAATTGTATATTTTTAATACCACTGCCAAAGTCGCTTTCGGTTATACTGATGGGCGTATAATGAGATGTCTGTCTTACAGCCTTCCCATTGATATATACATGTATAAATTATAATAATATGTCACTGCGGTACATATATAATCCGTATATATAATAAAGCCTTTAACCCATAACTCAATTATTATTTGTATCAATTAATTTTTTTTTTTTTATAAAACCCAGCACGACAAATAATGATTGTAGAAATACATAATTAAAGAACGCAGTTATAGCTGTTAACTAGACGTTTAAATATTAGTTTAGAAAAAAAATGATATACAAAAATCATCTTTAGAGTTTAAATCAACGATATTTAAAGTATAATAAGCAATTTATCGAGTACTACATTTATTTTGATCATGGATTGTATTCAAAATCCATTGTAGTCTTATTCAAATTTTCAGCAAAAAATAAACAACAAAAGAACACATTATCTTGAAATCCATGAAATTGTATTGTACTATCTAAAAGGCTTTAACAATAAAGGATTTGAACTAATGTAGTGTGATTTTTTTTTATCTATGCGTTTTATCAAACAATATAATAATATTTACTTGCAGTTAATTTTTAAGCACATTTCACCATTGAAATTGAATCTTAACTCTAAAATGGTTTAATTTATAAGTAGATACACATTCTAACTAAATGAATTTTCTTATCCCACACAACTACTTCTGATATAGGTATGGCGAATCAATTTGTTCAAAACCTCCCGAGGCATTCAAAGGTTTCTAGGAAATATACATACTCAACAATAGTGATGATACTTGTAAGACACTCATATAACAGTGTCTGACAAAAACACAAACTTGAAGAGAGGTAAACTACAGTCGATATATTTTCACCTCTTGCTGTTAAAAAGAACAAAGAAAATATTTTCAAACAAATTTCCGTTTAAAACATAGGCCTAACTCAAATAGCATAAAATAGTTGATTTTATTTTAGAACTGACTTAAGCGTTCAATACATAGCCCAAAGGATATAGTACTCATGTATGCTTATTATTCTTTTAATATCTGTTTTGTTGTTTAATTCCCTTCTAATCATAGATCTAATAATATAATACTTTATATCATTACAATATTACGGGTAAATTATTTTTATAAGATATCAGGATGACATTATTATATTTCGACGATTATTTACATTGCTCGATTAGTTGGGATCTGGTCATTCCTTTGGATATAAATATTAATCAACTTAAAACTTATATCTTTAAACTGACCGGATGTTGTGTATCCACACACAGCTAAATCCGTAGACTACTGTTAACTAACACAATTAAACCACTGTGTTATTTTTTTTTTACTATACTTAAAATAGATAGGTATTGTTTTATAACTGTTTTTTTTTTAATGTTTCTACTAAAAAGTAATTATATTATTTTCATTATTATTTTATATTATTGAATTAAAAATATTCATTCGAATAAATATATTAAAATTAAGTATCGTTTGCCGCCCTTCTCGCCAAGAGTATTTAACTATACAAATATTTTCCCGAGAATTCGCTTTGAAAATATTATAATGGACCGAATGAAGTGGAACGATTAGCGAAAAGTTGGTTGGAAAACAAAAATGTATTGTAGAATCATTTACGATTAAATGGAAAATTCTAACAACGCACTTCGTTTAAAGACCTTTTTAAAAGTAAAAACAAATACATGGTCGTATTGCTAAGGTTCACACACCATTGAGTTCACGTTCCAAGTACTAACCAACCACTAATTGTAAGTATTCGCCATATTTGATACTAAAATCAGTAACGCTATATCTTTCTCGTACGGTGAACCCCAGTCATTTTAAACACATTATCTAAATATCTAGTAAAGTGTAAACCTATATTTTACATTTGTTTATTAAAATATTTAATGTTTAAAAAAAATAGTTGACATTTACATGGAAATAACTTAACAAAGTTTTGGTAGGTTGAAACACTTACTATCTTGCCTTAAAATTCCTCTGTAAACTATCCTCTCATCTTTCAACATTCCAATATATTCTCTCTCTTTTTTCCCCGTTTTAAAATAAAAATAAAAAAACATGACAAAATGTAATAAAATAGTGAACGCCAAATTCAAGCAGGAATTGTGTAAATTTGTAGTGTCCTGTATAGAATACAATTGGACAATTAAGATACTACAAAAAAAAGGTACAATGATTATAAAGTGTATATTTAAGTAGCTATATTAAAACCAAGCGACAAGTAGTGGTTTTTAGAATTATTCGTAAGACAAAGTAAAATCATTTTGTAGAGTTAGATTATATAATGGTACCTTAGATTTTCCGTGTATGTATCTAAGATAAATAAAATAGATCAAAAGACAATGATTTTAAAGATTTAAGTTGATATCGTGCTATAATGTGTAATCACAAAAGCAATTTAATAAAAAAAAAACGTTGATATCGATTGCCACGTGATAAACAATTTAACGGAGAGGTAGTTCCACGAAAATAGGTCCAGACTGTTTTTCTATAGTTGAATACAGGCAAACATAAACACATGTGCTTACTAATAAACCCTCTCTTAAGCGCTTAGTAGGATAAATAAGTTGAAAAATAAATATTTCAAACCCTTTTCAAAAGTACTAGGAACGTGTACTGCGTGTGTACATCACACCTGCAAATTTTCAAAACGTTGAATTTTAAATTGTATTTTAATTAGACTAGACCCGTGAAAAAATTATAATTGAAACGAATATAAAAAGTAATTTTGTTAAATTCAAACAAAACTGTACATTTAGGGTTATGTTATCAAGCAGGGTTCCTTTGTAGTAAACCGTACACATTAAAACGGCGAAGCGATGACCCCACTGAGGCAGACTGTGTTGTCACGCAACGGCATTCTGTGTAATTAATAATAATGTCTAGTGCAGTTTTAAGAATTAACAATGTATGTAATTACACGGAAACCGAGTAAAATAAATTAGAGTCATTCGTATCAATAGTCAGTCGACAGTCGTTTCAAAAAAACATCCACAGCCCACAGAATTTTTAACATCATCAAAAACTATTGAAATAAACGACAATCGCGCATAACCGTATAATATAGCTTATACCGTAAGTGCATTTTTTTTTGTTTTTTTTTTGTAAAGCTTTTTGGCCTATTCTGTCGATTGGGTTTTTTTTTATCAATGAACGAATAACTGCGGTCAAACAATGAAATAAAGAAATACTCACTTCTGCGGGAAACGAATAACCCTGGATTTTGTGCTCGGAACCAAGATTGTTGTCTGTGCCGTAGTGTATGTAAAACTCTTGGAATTGATAACGGTAAGTGAGCGGACCGTCGGTTATGTTTAAAACGTATTTGGAATCCTTGTCCACTCTGAACACTAAGGATTGACCGGTGTTTTCAATAACTCCGCTGACCTGCAACAGACATAAAACGCACAACCTTATTGCAATAATAAAAATACATATATATATATATATATATATATATATATATATATATATATATATATATATTATGTTTTGTAGAGGATAATCGCAAAGGGAGTTGACTGGGGTATGTTAAAGGAAATCGAGGAGGCGTGACGACTTGTTATCGAAACCAACACGAACATTTAATGTAAATAATGTGCGCAATTGTACGCTTCTTTAATTGCCGGGTTCTGCATTTTGGGTATATTATATTATTATTTTGTCCGTTTAGCTGAAAAACTTTTTAACGCTGTTGTTGTAATGCGCATGTATCGAGAAAAAAACCAGCTACAAAAATAAGACCAATACAGATAGGAACCAAACGGAGCGAAATATAATATTTTACTATCGTATTGCATTCCGCTATTGCTGCCGTTTTTAAATCCGTGTAGTACACATAGACGTTTTCCGAAAGCAATAATCCTGGTCTCAGACACAGGTTTCTTTTCTTAACGTTATTTTCTGTGGATCCGTCCATTTTAATATCCTCACAAACCGCAAACGTCGTATGACTTGTATGTACGCGTGTCAATTGTAATAGAAATATATGTATAATATTATTATGTGTCTGCTCACATAGTGTACAATATTATCGTGTTACATATTATGGGAAAAAGGTAAAAATGATATATCAATAACATTAATAAAAAAAAATAAAAAAATAAGTCCGTTTGGTTTTACAATAGTTTAATTTATCTATTCCAGAAATATGTTTTGATTGTTAAAAATTAAATATATACTTGTATATTAATTTTAAAAGAAACTAAAAAATATTAGACCCAGTTTGGATTTATTTTAGAGAAACACTCTAAATTATATATTATGCATTAGTATTCTAGTTAAAGTTATGTTTTGTCGCTTTGTGTTATTTTTAATACAGAAATCACGGTTCTTTGAAATTGTATGATTCTACATGTTACATTTCTGTTCTATTAAAAGTACACTAATATTTTTTTTTAATTAAGAATCTGATGATAACCCTCTATACCGAAACCGAAAATATACCAATAATGTGAGATTTATTGCTGTGTCGTGAAATCTCAAGTACTCAGTATTTATTACTAAATATATTTAAAACATAATTTAAATTTTACTTTGTCTTTGTCAATGTGCAAGTTTCTTAAAAATGGATCAAACAGCAACTTGTCTGGATCGATGTCGATCGGAGACTGTCGTTTGCCAATTGAACATAACTTCCATAGAGGGTTCAAAACTCCCCAATATTTTGGCCCTGAAAAAAAGGTACATTATATTTTAGTTGCTAATTAACATTTTTAATTGTAATACTAAATTAAGGATAACAAATATGTTGTGTTTTTTTCGGATAGGTCCATGTAAACAGAAAAAACACACAAAGTAGTATCAAATTGTTTTAGGTAAGAAGATACTAATAGAAAATAAATAATAAAAACTACCACCGGTATTATGTAAAAATGCAACGGTAATGAGCAACCAATAATTCCATAAGCCAGGAAATGTTTAACATTAGTTTATGCTTTAACAAAAGTGTTTCTAGACATAAGTTATATCACTATATTATGTATTGTATAATAAAAACTAATGTGAAAATGTGTGTTTATTGTTGTTGGGATGCCTATCGACATTTTATACTCTATCCTATGTATTAACCCGTTTGAGAAAGCCGGAATCCCTGTACAAAACAATTACAAATATTATTATTACTAAAGAATAATAGCTAAAGTCCCGCAAAGTGAACGATAAAACAAGCTAAAACGCGTATTTAAGTGGGAAGAAATTGTTACCTACAGAAACATAAAGCTTTATTATTAGAATTGTATTGATCGTAATTTAAAACTAAAAATGTCCCAATGTAATACAACACTAATAGGTTTTAAAAACATTAAAATAATATACGTACTTTGAAACATGATATACAGTTACTTTACGAAAAATTATTCAAAAAAACAATGTACAACCAAATTAAACTGACACTTTTGTTTTAAATAATAATTTTTATCGTTGTTTTTAGTATAATAAATATAGCTTCGATGCGGAGCTAAGAAGATACCAATGGTTTTTACAACAATGTGTATTTTTTTTTATGTATGGATTTCTGTATATCTGCTGAGCCATTGAATCGATTTCTTTAATTAGCCAGCTTATACTTGTGTGGGATATTCTTCAAACAAATACAAAAATTCAAGAACATATTTTTTGCCCTTTCACTCAGAAGAGTTGGAACTTTATTTTTTATGAGATGTTGGTTTAGTATTTAGGGTCTACAATTTACACAAAGTATATAGATGCAGAGTTGCTCTATAACATGTTAACATATATAGTCGAACTTATTTTGTATTAAATAAAACCAATAAAAAACACTTTAATTATGTTACAACCTTATATTGTTTAAAATTATGTAAATTATATTGTTATCTACTTTAGATTCTGCGTAGAGAATATAATCTTTAAATGCTTTTCTTGTAAAATTTGATAATATGTACTTAATGTTATTTAATTATCTGTGTTTTCCATATCTGTTATAGTTACACACACACACACATATATATTTAAAAATCGATAGTCTTACATTAATGGTTAATAATTACATTACTGCTTAACATTGTGTTCGAGTTTTGAGAAAAGTGTGACAAAATAGGCCAACGGTTTACCGGAATCCGTATGTAAGTAGAAGCTCTACTTAGTACCAATATAATTTGGTATGCATGACTCTTTTGTAAAAAATGATTCAACCTAATAAGTTCCAACGACAAAGAAAAGATGAAACGCGAGATTACTCTAATCGAGTGCGAGTAACGATAGGAGTGTGTGCGCATCAAAGTTTTTCGATTAGGGTTTGTCGGTAAAGGAATATTTTTTTTATTTTATTTTTTTAACATGCGGTAGAACACGAAAATAAAAGGCGTGTAGATACATTTTTAGAGGCACACGGCAAAATATATAAATCCGGATGTGGGTTTTCGATATGGAACCGTTGGCCGCACATGACGTACGCGTTCGGAGGAGAAATCTCAGCACCGTGAAATTGAATTGGTTCATTTAGTCGAGTAGAGCGCCGTCAAGGGGTTTGTTGCCCGCGCCCTAAGCTCTACCTATCATGTCAACCTTATCCGTCGGATCCTTCGGGCCCGCGGCGGAGGACCTCTTGAACATCTGCACAAAAGAGCTTTGCATACGATATAATTTAAATAAAGTCTGGTCAAATAAGTGTGTGTGTGTGTGCGTGTGTGAGTATGCATGTTCTGGACACGGCGGTAAAAAGACCGTGAAAAGCCGTTCGCAGCGGGTGCGGCCAACGACCGGGGCTGAAGTTTGGCCGACTAGAAAGCTAAAAACGTACCTAGTAAATGGCATTTCGGACGGAACGCACCCCCTCCCCCCCCCCAAAAAAAAAAACGACTAGAACGCAACTTACTAAACAAGTATAGTACGCTAGTCATAATATAAGTACATAAAACTAGTCATAATCCACACGCGCGCGCGCGTTTAAAGTAAATTAAAACCGTTTAGCTAAACCTTCAAATTATTATGGAACGTTTGAGTATGAATATACGTAACATTGATTTTACACAATACACCCCACAATTTTATCATAAAATCAATGATATGAATAATTCAATCGATTGTTTGCATACCACAAACATGTTATTTATTGTATAATGTGTAGTGTAAGGTATAATGTGTGATCCATTCATGTGTTTGCGATAAAATTGATACTATTGTAATGTACCACAGACAAAAAAGTTTAAAAAATATTTTATTAGCTGTAATAATATTTTGAACATTTTTACTATATTATAAATGCGTTGAAAATGTGTTTTTGTGCTCTATGTGTGTCTGAGAATCAATAAATCTTAGTTCTAGACTAGTCGGCGTTTAAGGAGTAAAGCATATGATTATTTGAAAATTACTCTCAAAAACGATAAACTAGTTAAACACAAACCAATAACTAAGAGATTTGTATTAATTATGTATCAAAAGACAATCATACAGCTATTTTCCATTTATAACGTGTTAATTATTTTCGTTTAATTGAAAATAGTTTTTTCACAACCTTAGATCATGATTATAGGTATTACACGTCATAGGCACATGTCCTATAGTGTCATATTTACAATTGTTATTTTTTTGTAACAGTTCTGTATACATTTATATTATCCATAAGAGTAATTAGCGCTCTCTGTTCGATTCAGTCACGGATGGTGTGCTATTATCGCCTGTTATACTTGATATTGTACATTTTTCCTTTTTTTTTTTTTTTATAAATAAAAAGCGCTTAGAGTGCGGAATAACCTTTTTACTTTGCTCGCTCGACCGTTACTGTGTTCGAAGCGCATACGCCACATTTTGTTAATCGAGGTTTGCGACAAACGTTAATATTTTAGTCCTGTTTATTGTTTAGAGCACTGACTCGACGCCGTCAATAAATATATTATAACCAAATTAGGCAAGCTTAAGCGTAAAACATTCATGCGTTGAGATTTGATCATATTTAATATCGGTTATTATGATATTCTAGAGGGCACTATCCAAAAAGTTTGCACCCCTCGTCACTCCGTTTAACGTCATTAAATATACACACATAAATGTCATATGTATATGCGTATAATGTGCCTAAGTGCAATTACGGCGAAAAGTCTGTGGGGGGAAAAAAATAACCGTCGACAAACTGTAAGCGGATTTAAATAATTGACCTCTAAACATTAGAGTCTAAGGTTTAATGGAAACCCAATCGTTATAATAATATGTGTAATGTATAATATAATATTATATATTGATATACTCTATATGTATTTATTTATATATATATATATATATATATATATATATATATATGAAAACTACGTTAGGGTTCATATTTCAGTCAATTATAATTAGTCGTAATAAATTATCGGTCGAAACCCAACACGCACAGTAATATCGCTAGATTGCATATTATTTTAACGACAGAGTATAGTGTAGTGTGGGTTATATTATATATTATATACATTTATATTAAGCTACCCTCCCGGTGCATGACGTATAGTTCGAATGGTTACGGTAGTCCATCGCCATGGCCGACCTAATAATAATAACGCTACCGATAATGATATGCAATTATAATTAATGTATAAGTGTAGTTTTTTAATAAATATTGTACGTCTACAGTTGCAATCAATAGTTCGAATTGTCTAATTAAATAAGACATTTATAATTATTACCGAATAAATATCAATCCGTATCGAGTAGGTCCGATATTGAGAGCATCCAAAGTTGCCAGAATATCGTTCTTTGCATTTACATAATATTATTATATTTTGTGTAAACATTCAGTTGTATGTTGGAACTTATTTATTTATTTTATAACGATGATACTATGGCTTAAATGTACTGGGTTATTGCATCTCTACCCCTTCTCCGTCGAAATTTTCACTGATAAAAATAAAATGGCAGCTTAAGGGTCAGCCAGTCAACATCGTTTATTTTTTATAAAGGTATTATGTATATATTTATCAAAAAAACAATAGTGCACCTTAACGCTGCCATTTGGTAATTTGATAATACAATAAAGCGGGGATATGCAATAACCTAGCATATGCCATGAATGGTACTTAAAGATACTGTTTCGAATTTATCATATTAACATGTTTATTATATTACATAATAATAATGAATACAAAAAAACTAATTTTTTAATGATATTTTTCCATATCTCTGTTTATATTGTTTACTTGTAATTGTAATAATGATTCAGGGCACCTTTATAATATATTATCACTCAGGTGTTTTAATCAACGCCGCTTTCTTGACGATAATACGGGTATTTTCTTACTATTATTTTAAGGCCAGTTTGGTTTGGCTCTTGATAATAATATGATAATCGAATTTTCAATGAACACCTGTCGGTCCACTCGCGAAATCCGGGCAAAGCGGCATTGCAATGCGGTTAATGATCCGTAAATAACCATTTCAAACACAATAATGTGGTTGGTTCACGTATAATAATAATAATGATCCATAGATTTGTTATCGAAAATGACTCGCTTAAAAGGGAATAATAAATTCGTTAACCGCAGAAACAATGAATATTTACGCGGGTTATAGAATTTCTCCCTTTTTTGCTTTTTTTTTTTTACTCCTTTAAGCGAAAAATATGGAGTGAAACGCTTGAGGAATGAAAAAAAGGTTTTGCGAACAATCGCAACTAATAAAAAAATAATGACACATTTTTTCATTATAATGGGTTTTTAAAAATCAAATTAAGAAAAGAAA